TCACAAAGAAAAAAATTTAGAAGGAAAAAAAGTAAAAATAGATGGTTTACTTACATGGGAGAAGTAAAAACCAGTATAGAAATTATATTGCCTGCAAATGAAGTATAAATTTTATCTTAAAAGGAAGAAAAAGAAAAAACAATTGACAACCCAAGAATCTAAAATTGAAGGGGGGGAAAAAACCCAAAAAATTAAGAGTAGTGAAAGTAGAAACTGACCAATAATGCCGATGATCAAGCTCAAACTAGCAGCCATTGTATAGGAAGAGAGAGTAGAAAAGAAATTAACTATTGTGTGATTATATCCAAATAAATGAAGAAGGTAGTGATGTATATGTGTATATATAGATGGTGATTGGGATGTTCACGTGATAAGCACATCAATGACGTGTGTTATGTGTGTGTGGTTGATATATTGGAATTACAAAATCTGCTCTAACTTATGGATCCTCTCTATGGATTTTATTCTACCTATGACACGTTTTTCACTGTAAATTGCTGTTGGACTTGTGTTGATAGTGGCTTTTGGCCCACCTTTTCTTTTGTTCGCCCATTCTAATTTTCTTTTTCATAGGCTTTGTGATATTTTCCATCGGTAGTCATTTCTAGTCTGTTTCTTATTTGAAGGGAATGCCGCGGATTATATTGTTAGGCAGTGTTTGATAGGGAGGGAAAGAAATACGAAGGAGAAAAATGTTACACAATTTTGGTGAGAAACGTGAAGATAATATATATATACCCATATATTTGTTGTGTTTGATATGGATTCCCTTATATAATCTCTGCATATTATAAGAGAATTATAACGGGATACATTAAGGGATTTGAAATCTCTCCTCTAATCTAGTCCTTCCTCATTTCTCTACTAACCAAACAATTAAAAGAATGAAAAAATTGCTGAATTTACCCTTAAAAGGGTATATGGTCTGGATTTTTATCTTTTACTTTTGATTAATATATTTTTATTAACATAATTATTTGACTAAAAGGGGTATTAATCAATAATAAGGGATAAAAATCCAGACTCATGCACATTTAAAAGGTATTTATCTCATTTTTTCAACAATTATAGATCACAAAGTCCTTCCATTCATCTCCTTATCTTTTTTCTTTCTCCTATTTTTTCGTCCTACCAAATAAGCTCTTATAAGGTCCATACTAAGGGATAGCAACATGATGGATTTAGGGCGAGGGGTCTTCTCACCAACCCACTCCG